AAAGGAGACTGAGATAGGGACCAGAGAAAGTTATGTCAGAGAATTCTGGAATGGAAGGGTTGGAAAGGTCTTCAGGTCAAGAAATGGATTTCTACTCATGAACCAATTTCATTCAACTGGTAGTAACTTCCTGAAACACTGAGGAAGAGAATGAGTCCAGGCTCAACAAGGAAAAAAAAGAAAGTAATGATCAATTATTTATGTCTGCCTGGGCTTGGGAGAGGGGAGTGGAACAACATACGACCTGTGTTTGTCCTCCCTGAATTAATCCTTCCTTCTCATTTTACAGAACGGACAAATAAAGCCTCGAGTTTAGAATCAACCTGTCCAAAGTGACATAAGAAGTTAGTGGCAGAAGTGGTCCTGGAACCCAGACTTCTTATTTCCCAGGAATTGTTCTTTCCACTAGTCCATGCAGCAGGAATGACATAATCAGAGAGGAGAGCTTTTCTTAGTGGAAGAGCATGTACAATCCCAAGTCAGCAATACAAGAAAAATGAGCACCGAACCAAGAAGGCTCTGGCTCCCTCACCAGCCCTGTGATATTGGGAAAAGCACTACCCTTTTGGGGACTCAATTTCCTTACTTGGAAAATTGCTTTGGGCAAATATGTTGCAAAAAACCCTCTTTAAAGTTTTAAAAAGCAAATATTTCACTTTGATGACTAAGATGTGCCTGACCCAAGCAATGACCTTTTTAATTGTCTCATACGCATACAAAAGCTGGATGATGAAACAGGAAGACAGAAGAACTGATGCATTCAAACTGTTGTTGTATTGGCAAAGAATAGTAAATATACTGTGGACTGCCAGAAGAACAAGCAAATCAGTCTTAGAAGAAATATAACCAGAACGGTCCTTAGAAGCAGGGATGGCGTGACTTTGGCTCGCTTACTTTGGACATGTCATTAGGAAAGACCAATTGCTGGAAAAGGACATCATATTTGGTAAAGTAGAGGGTCAGTGAAAATGAGAGAAACCCTCGGTGAGATGGATTGGCACAATAGACACAATGGACTCAAACATACCAACAATCATGAAGATGGCGCAGGACAAGGAAACGTTTCATTCTGTTATATATAAGGTCCTCATGAGTTGGAGCCAACTTGATGGCAACTAACAATAAGGGATGTTTTGGGTTTATGATCCCATCCCAAGTTGATAAGTCTCTGGAAAGGAACACAGGTGGCTACATAGGGCTGAAGCCTCGTTCAGCACTCTGGAACTATGGACAGCTCCCCCTGTCCAAGCCTTGCCTTTGATGGGGGCAGAAGCGGGCGAAGGTACCAACAAGTCCTGCATCCCAGTGTCAAGCTGCCTAGGGTCTCATATATGATTCTTCTGTATACTTCAAAACAAAACCTAGCCATTGCAAGCCTGAGGAGATAGCTTGCATCCCAATGCCCAACCAACTCCTCCTCTCCTTGCTGGTTCTGTAGTCCTGTGAAGAGAGTTTTCTCCAGGGACAAACCAGGGCGAGGGAAAAAAATTTAGGTGACAGCAGAGTCCCTCTCCCTTCTTCTCTCATCCGTCATTCTCCTGAGTTATGATCCTTGACTGAGCTCAGTAAATAGCAACCGAGGGCCTTTTATGCATAAACACAGAGGTAGGCCCCATAGGGAGAGATAGACGAGAAAGAACTGGTCCTTTTCTTTAATGAGTTCATAACTCCAGAGGAGGAGACAGTCATCTGCACAACTAAGAATACAGGGGAGAGTTGGATAATTCCGTAATCAAGGCAAATGATTTCCTGAGGACGATGAAACTCTACTGTATATGTGTATGTATGTGATGTGATGTGTGTGTGTGTGTGCACGTGTGTGCGTGGGGGTTGGGGGGGAGTTATCACTCTTTTTCTGCACCCATGCAGAGCTCTCCTAAGCATGGAGGACATGCTCCCACGCATTCTGATTGGTTAGCAGGCATGTGTTTCTCACTCCACTGTGAGCTCCTTGAGGGCAGGAACTGTGTTTACGTCCTGCTGTCTTTCCAATGGCCACACACAGTGCTTTGTGTACATCAGGTGTGAAAGAGGGCAGTCTGAGCACAGTCTGCTGCCTTTCCCTGTGACCCACAAATGAACCTTGTGTTTAGGGCCAGATGTGACAACTTGGCTTCTTCGACAGGAAGAATGTGTGGGCTGATCCCCATTTTCTGGGGCATCTTGACCCAAAACACATCCCATAGCAGCTGGTGGGCTATCAGCACACTCCTCCCGTCTTGCCCTGAGCACATGTCAGCATTTCAAGGAACTGCTTACTATATAGCATCTGGCCAGACCCACTTCTATATCTGTTCCCAATGGGGAGGAATTGAGGTCCCTCTTCTACAGCACAAGAGGGTTACATGCAGACCATCATCCCTGGTTCGGCTGCTGTGGGGAGTGACTCACTGGCTATGGGGGACTGATGCCCACTATTGAAGCTGACCTTGCTCTGACTCTATGTGTGTAAAGGGTTGTTCCATCCAATGCCTGTGGGTAAGTTGTATCTGGTGACCTCAGACCTTGGCTGGACATTGCTGTTGTTGTTAGATGTCATTGAGTTGGTTCCAACTCGCAGTGACCCTATGACAACAGGAAAAAAAAAACCAAACACTGTACAGTCCTGTGTCATCCTCACAATCATTGCTATGTTTGAGCCCACTTTTGCAGCCACTGTGTCAATCCATCTCATCCAGGGTCTTCTTCTATTTCGCTGACCCTCTACTTTACCAAGCATGGTGTCCTTCTCCAGGGACTAATCCCTTCTGATAACATGTCCAAAGTCTCACAATCCTCGATTCTAAGGAGCATTTTGGCTGCACTTCTTCCAAGACAGATTTGTTCGTTCTTCTTGGCAGTCCATGGTATATTCAGTATTCTTTGCCAACACCATGATTCAAATGCATCAATTCTTCTTTGGTCTTCCTTATTTATGGTCAAGCTTTCACATGCATGTGAGGCAATTGAAAATACCATCACTTGGATCAGGTGAACCTTAGTCCTTAAAGTGATATCTTTGCTTAACACTTTAAGAGGTCTTTTGCAGCAGATTTGCCCAATGCCATACGTCATTTGATTTCTTGACCACTGCTTCCATGGGTGTTGATTGTTTTTGATTGTTTGTTTGATGGGGGAGCTTGACATTAGGCATTAAAAACAGTGATGACCCTAATATTTACTACTGGATTACACATTCCTTGATTATAAGGCCATGCCCAGTTAATATCTAATGTTTGGTGGTGGGAAGAGTCAGACAGGCACTGTTTAATCTTAGATCACACTAGCTGTGTGACCTTGGGTAGGTTACTGAAACTCTCAGGATCAGTTTTCCTACTTGGAAAATGGGTCAATAAGACCAACCTCATAGGATTATGGTCTGAATTAAATACCAAGTTGTGCATTAAATGCCCATCACAGTATCTGACACATAGTAGGCCCTAAGCAAATGTTAGTTTCCCTCCTCTCTTCTCTGTATCCCTCTCCACTCAGTACCTAGTGAGGTATTTTAGCTAGAGTAGGAACTCAACCAAAGTTTGTAGAATGCCAAGGGCAGCCACTGAAGAAAACTTCATTCCTTGTGTGATGGTTAAGGTTGTGTGTCAACTTGGCTGGGCCATGATTCTCAGCGGTTTGGCAGTTATGATATAGTTTGGCAGTTATGTAATGATGCCATCACCTCCATGATGAGATCTGATGTAATGTAATCACTTCTATGATGAGATCTGCTATGAGCAGCTAATCAGTTGAAAGGGCTTTTCCTAGGGGGTGTGGCCAGTATCCAATACGTATGGACTTTCTGGCAAAGCTCACTGGTTTTTGTTCTGCTCTGGGTCCTGCATTTTGCTCATCATCATCTGACCTCCAGTTCTTGGGACAAGCAGCCTGCCATCTTACCTCCTGATCTTGGGTTTGTCAGCCTCTGCAGCCTGTGAGCCAGTAGCCTACCATCTGACCTGCCGATCTTGGGTTTGTCAGCCCCTGCAGCTACGTGAGTCAAGAGAAGCCTCCAACCTGATGCCTGACACCATGGACTTGGGACTTTCCAGCCTCTACAACTGTATGAGCCATTTCCTTGATAAAAATCTCTCTGTCTATATATATGTGTGTGTGTGTGTGCGCGTGCGCGCGCGCGCGCGCTTCACTGGTTTTGCTTCTCTACAGAACCTAGCCTAAGATAACTTGTAAATGGACAACAGTTCTGCCTCTGCTCACATTTCTTCATAGTTTTATTTTGGGAGTCACTTGAGTTTAGGTGTCTTTTGAACTGATAACAAAATTGCAGAATTGTTCACTGCTTCACTTTTACCCATGGATAATCATTGAGGAAGGCAGTTCAGGTGTGGAAGAAAGCTGCTTGGAACAGAAAGTGTGGAGGAAACCAGGTTGGGGGAGCACAACTGATTTACTCTGGATCCCTGGATCCCAGGGGAGGGAGTTTGTTATAGATTGACCTGTGTCTCCTAAAAAAGATATGTTAAAGTCCTAGCCCTCGGTACATGTGAATGTGACCTTATTTAGAAACCAGGTCTTTGAAGATGTTATTCAGTTAAGTTAACATGAGATCATTGTGGAATAGAATGGTGTTATGAATTGAATTATGTCTCCCCGAACTAACCCACTGCCGTTGAGTCGATTTTGACTCATAGCGACCCTGTAAGACAGACTAGGGTTTTCCCCTAGGGTTTTCGAAGGCTGTAAATCTTTACAGAAGCAGACTGCCACATCTTTCTCCTGTGGAGTGGCTGGTGGGTTTAAACAACCAATCTTTTGGTTAGCAGCTGAGCGCTTAACCACGGTGCCTCCAGGGCTCCTCAGAGCTGAAGCCCAGGACCAAGGGGCCTCAACCCAGAATCCAGAGGGTATGGCCAACATCCAGAGTCTGGGTGGTGGGGCCATTTCCCAGCGGTCTCAGAGACGAGAGGATTATTTTCAAGGCTTGAAAGCTAATGTAATTTGTTGTGCTGTGTTTTGGGCTTGTTTGGTGCCTATTATCATTTCTTTCCCACTGATTTCTCCCATTTGTAATGGCCATGTCTACCTTGTGCCTATTCCACCATTGTACTTTGGAAACAGATATCTTGTCTTCTAGATTTCACAGTTCACAGATGAAGATGAATTTTGCCCCGGGATGAAATAGGCCTAAAGTCTCACCCATACTTGATTTAGATGATTCAGAAGATGAGATTTTGGACTTGGAGTTGATTTAAGACTTTTTGGAGGATGTGATGGGGTGATTGTGTTTTACATGTGGCAAGGACATGAATTTTGGAGTGGAATGTTATGGATTGAATTGTGTCCCACCCAAATACGTGCTGTAAATCCTAACCTCTATGCCACTGGTTCTAATCCCGTTTGGGAATGTGTTGTCTTTGTTACGTTAATGAGGCAAGATTGGTGTAGGGTGTATCTTGAGTCAATTTCTTTCGAGATATGAAAGAAATTGGGACAAGCAAGAAAGCAGAGATGGGAGAAGAGAAATGCCAAGCCATGTGAAAAATACCCAGAAGCAGAAGCTCGGAAGAGACGAGGACCTTTCTCCAGAGCTGACAGAGAGAGAAAGCCTTCCCCTAGATCCAGCACCTTGAATTTGGACTTCAAGCCTCCTAAACATTGAGAAAATAATTTCTGTTTGGTAAAGGCATGCACTTGTGGTATTTCTGTTACAGCAACACTAGATAACTAAGACAGGTGGATTCTAATCCAAGTAGTGTCTTTAAAAAGGAGGAGAGAAGACACAGAGAGACAGACAGAGGGAAAATGGTCACACAACAGAGTTATGCTATAGCTGCAAGCCAAGGAACACTTGGGGTTACCAGAAGCTGGAATAGACAAAGGATCTTTGTCTAGAGCCTTCAGAGAGAACATGGCCCTACAAACACCCTGAATTTGGACTACTAGCCTCCAAAACTGTGAGACAATATGTTTCTGTCGTTGAAAGCTACCCACTTTGTGGTACTTTATCATGGCAGCCCTAGCAAACCACTGGATTTGTGCGATAGCCACAAAGATGGACTCGAACCTGCTGGCGATTGTGAGGACCATGCAGGACCAGGCAACGTTTTGTTTTGTTGTACCTAAGGTTGCCACGAGGCGGAGTTGACTCGACAGCAGCTGACAACAACAACAACAGGAAACTACTGCAGGGCCCTCTTAGCAGGTACCTTGACACGGAGAATGTTGGTCCCATTCATGCTGCCACTCCTGTCGATGAGGAAGATGAACTCCCCGTGGGTCTTTCTCAGGTTTGGCTGGACTGACTCGAGGTCAGGACAGAAGTTGAGCATGACGACGGAGTGGTGGGGTATGTCCTTGTGGAGACGTTTCCGGATGATTTCTGTCTGGAGGAAAAAGGAACACCCTCTCACGTGGGCAATCAAGGGGTCCCCAGAGCTACTCCCGGGGGCAATACACTGGTCCCCCATGACTCATCAGGTATTATCTGCTCATAATCTGCATGGAAGACTTTCAGGTGAGTGTACCTGACTCCCATGTTTGCCAGATGTTCACAGAGTGCAATGGTACACGTGGGATTTGGAGGCAGAAAGACCTGGGTTCGAATCCCAGATCTGTCACCCTCCAGCTATGTGATCTTGGGCAAGTCCCTTATCTAGGTCTGTTTCCATTCACTTCTCAGGGTGGTTGTGAGGATGAACTGAGTTAGCACAGAAAAAGGAAACCCCAGGCACATCTGCAGGCCCTCAGTTAAGTAGTGGCCTTTTTCACTTTCACCAGCCATTACCAGTTGTCATCGAGTTGATTCCTACTCATGGTGACCCCATGTGTGTCAGAGTATAACTGTGCTCCACAGGATTTTCTATGGCTGATTTTTCAGAATTAGGTTGCCAGGCCTTTGTTCTGAGGTGCCTCTGGGTGGACTTAAACCTCCAGCCTTTTGGTTAGCAGCTGAGTATGTTAACTATTTGCACCACCCAGGGACTCCTTCACTTTCATACTCAATGTAAGCCACTCTGGCTCATCATGGCTGTGAGTTTTGTTTTCCTGGTTTACTGATTCTCTCCCAGTGATAAATTCCTACTCACACATGTTCTTCAATTTTTACCTGTTTGGAAAGCCTGCCTCAATATTCTAAGTGGACTTAATTACTTCGTTTCCTCATCCACAGAAGGAGGATAAGAGTACAGACCTCACAGAGTTGTGCTGATTAAATGCAATGCTTATGAAATCTACTACCAGGCAGAGAATAACTGTTTCTAAACAGTAGCTATCATTGCTTCTGTTGTTGTTATTGTTATCTGTCCTGTGGGTCCTAGCACTTCTCACATTGCCTGGTAACTTTTTGCTCCTATCTTTGTCTCCCCTCTCACTTGTGAGCTACTTGAAGGCAAGCCATCCCTAGTCTCCTGCATTTCCAGGACTTAACATAGGCCTAGGAGCCCTGGTGGCACAGTGGTTAAGCATTCTGCTGCTAACTGAAAGGTCGGCAGTTTGAACCCACCAGTGGCTCTGTGGGAGAAAGATGTGGCAGTCTGCTTCCGTAAAGATTTACAGCCTAGGAAATCCTATGGGGTAGTTCTATTCTGTCCTATAGGATCACTATGAGTTGGAATCGACTAGATGGCAACGTGTTTGGTTTGGCTTTGGTTTAACATAGAGCATGGTACAGAGAAGGATCCAGTGAATGTTAAAGGAAGGACAGTACCATAGTTCTTCATCCTTTGGTGTGGCCTCATGGCTGGCCCTGACACCCTGATGATGAACTTGATCCTTGTTCTCCATATTAAATCTCATTTTTGCTGTCCTCATCGTGCTTCTCTCTACCCTGTCTCTTCATCTCACTGCCTCTGTGTGTACATGTGTTTCTTTGTGACTTTCTTAGCTCCTGTCTATTTGGGTCTCTTCCTCATCTCAGTAGATGACATCACCACCCACCCAGCTGTTCAAACCAAAAACCTAGGTTTTATACTTGAATCCTCTTCCCCCCACCCCCATCTAGTCTTTTAGCAAAGGATTATCAGTTCTACACATAAAACAGATCCTAAACTTGTCCCTTCTCTGTCTACACTGCTATCACCCAAGTTCAGGACAGTGTCATCTCTTGCCTGGACCCTTGCAGTAGCCTCTTACTGACCTCTTCCATCTTCTTTTATTTTCCTGTGGTCCAGTCTACATAGAGCAGCCAGAGTAATTTTTCTTGTCGTTTTCTTGCTTAAGCTTCTGCTCCTCACTATGGTTTACAAAGCCCTACATGGCCTGACCCCTGCCTACCTGTCCACCTCATCTCTGCCCACCTGCCCCCTATGTCTCAGCCACCGAGGCCTTTTTTCTGTTTCTCTAATAGGTCATCATTACTCTGCTTCTATGTCTTTGCACATATTGTGCTCCCTGCTCACACCTTGTATGGTGGGCTCTTTGCCATCTGCCAGGTCTCATTCTCAGACAGGCTTTGTCTAAACACCTGGCTAAAGGGCACCCTGTCCCTATCACTCATTCTCCTATCATGCCGTTTTACTTTTTCAGGGTCCTCATGCCTCTCCAAACTGATCTTGCTCATTTGTTTACCTCTTGTCTGTGTCCCCATTGTAGACTGTAAGCTCCATGAGGACAAGGAACATGTCATGTTCCACGTTGTAACCCAATGCCTAGAACAGAGCCTGGCATCTATTGGGCATTTGGTGTTTGTTGACTGAATAAATGAGGGACTGAATCTGGGTGGATCTTTTAGTCGGTCAAGTGACCCTGTGTGTGCATCTTTGTGAATTTTTCAGTCCTGCTGTCTCTCTTTGCATCTCTGTCTCTTGTACATGGTGTTTTCCCTTGTGTCATTGGCCCTGTCTTTGCTGAATAGCAGTTTTTGACAGCTTGCCTCACCCACTCCTCCTGATTGATGTGTGCCCTCTGGATGTCCCCAACCTGCCCCTATTTCCTTCCCACATGGAGCCAGCCTCTTTGCCACAGGCCACTGCCTAGCCTGGCTGTTTTGATAAGAGAACCTGGGGCAGCAGCAGCCCCATCTGCCAGGGAGAGAAGCCACCTCCGGGAACCTGATTTCCGCCTTGCAGAGGGGCTGGCGGGTGCCCTGGCTCCTCTAATGTCTCCTCTCGAGCTGCCATTATCCAATTACAATAAACTCATCACTTCTCCACAGCTGCGGGTTGATCGCTGTCATTCCTGGAGCTCATGAGAATAAGAGCCATTTGCATAAGCAACCCAAGGTGGCAAATTAATTCTCATTTGCTTCAGCGGTCCCAGAGCTAATTGATTTAAGACTTGGCAGGCACAGCAGCCGGGCCCAGGCCTGGGAGGCCCATTGTGCTCCCTCCTTGTCCACACACTGCAGCTGTCAAAGCTCGGTGGCACCCTGGCATTGCCATCCCCCACTCTGAGAACTTGGCTCCAGCCTCTTCTCCCAGCTGATTCATCTGGGTGAGGGGCCACCTCTGGGAGGGCAAGTGTTTCCAGTGGGGTCTCTAATATGGGGGAGACATGAGCAGTCAACTGTCTATTATTTCCTGCCCACTTCCCAACTCACCATCCCCCTCCACCAGCTGGGCCAGCAGGGAATGGGAGGGGCTGTAAACCCAACTTAACTGCCCCCACATCACATGGCCTATTCTAATTCCTTAGCCTCCTTGTCACCAAATCCAACCCACAAGAGAACAATTCTACCCTCCCTTCAGCTCATTAGTTATTTTTGGGTGCCAGACCTCAGTGTTCTCATCTAAAAAGGGGGCCAATAAAAAGAAATGTGCCACCATTCTTAAACCCACCATGGCATTCAGGACCTGGCATGGTGTGCAGCAGGGCCATGTGCGGGAGGGGTTGCTGAGTGCACTTTGTGGCTGTCGGCTCCCCTTCCCACCCCTACCCTCCATGGGATGGGGAGGAAGTGCAGAGGACAAGGATCTTTCTCAGCCTTTCCCTGCTCTGCCTTTATTCTTTACATAATAGCAAGCAAGGGGTCACAGGTTAGAAGAGCAAGGAACTCACTTAGATGGTGGGAGAAGGGAGGCTTAGGCTGTAAAGATGAAGCTGGGAGAGCACCCAGCTATAGGGGCCTTGGGGCTAGAGTAACCTAGAAAAGGCCAAGGTTACTTCTACCACTAGCCTTGAATTTTGCCTGGCTTAGGCACTTTGGAGGGGGCATTGGTGGTTCAGTGGTAGAATTCTTGCCTTCCATGTGGGAGACTCAAGTTCGATTCCCAGTCATGGACCTCAAGTGTAGCCAACACCTGTCTGTCAGTGGTGGTTTGTGTTTCTATGATGCTGAACAGGTTTCAGTGGAGCTTCCAGACTGAGACAGACTAGGAAGAAAGGCCTGGTGATCTGATTCCAAAAACCAGCCAATGAAAACCCTGTGGATCACTACAGTCTAATCCTCAACCTATCATGAAGATGGTGTAGGACCAGACAGTGTCTTGTTCTGTTGTGCATGGGGTTGCCATGAATAAAGGGCCAACTCAACAGCGTCTAACAATAGGCACCTTAGAGGGAGCTGAAGGCAGGCCTAGGGAAAGGTGACCTGGCAGGAGGCAGGAGGACAGAGCCCAGGGATTGTTGCATCAAGAAATCTATTCTCGGTGAGCCCCTCAGCACCCCAGCCCACTGAAGAGAAACATGGACAAGAAATACTTCTCGTCCAGGATCTGCCATCAGCTTGCTGTGTGACCCCGGGAAAGCCCCTCTCCTGCCTCAGTCTGAGCCTCCTCTAGGTTCAGTGAAGGCTAAGTTTCCAGTGTCACCAGCTTTGCCACCATCGACTTCATGCTTTTTTGACCCTCACCTTTCGCTCTGCGCTGTTGTCCTTCTTGGTCCCTCTAATGAAATCTGTTCTGCCCTTCAAGTGTTGGTCAAACTCTCCCAGGGTCATGTCCCCTTTCTCCATCAGGACATGTGGCATGTGGGGCTCTGCAGAGATTAAAAGACCAACACAGCATTGTCATGGTGCAAGGGAATGCAGGGGCCTTGATTTATGGGAGGATCTTCCCAGGTGGTGGAACTCCCAAATGAAAGGGGGAGTGTCATCCCTGGCTGCCTGAAGCAGTCTGGGGCCATGGGAAGACTCCTTAGCTGGGAGTGATTCACTGCCCATCTCTGGGCCTCAGTTTACCCATCTGTAAAATGGGAAGGGGCTGGACTAAATGATCTTTTTAGGTCTTGATATTCTGTGAATTCTTGGAGAGAAGAGACAGAAGAGCTGCCCACTGAGGGTACAGGGTCTCATTGCACTCGGGGTTTCGAAGATCCTCTGCTCAGCTTCCCCAGGGCAGGGGTGGTGAGGAGGAAGTGCCCCAGTGGGTGGACAAGACCTCGGGGCCTTTGGAGCTATAATCAGGGCAAGAGATACTCAATTCCACCAGCTAGAGCTGGGAGGCAAATAACTGGTCTCCATTCCAGTATTCCTTTGCCCTGACTAGCCGCTGGGCAAGGAGTCACAAGTTCTGTTCCCCACAGGGTCAGCACCTCTGCCTTCCCCCAGGCACTCCAGGAGCCGCACATGGTGTCCCCTACCGCTAGGGTGGATGAGGATCTCCACGGGCCGGTCGAAGGTGTGCTTGTTGGCCAAGGTGATGATGATGCTCTTGGCTGAGCGGGCAGATGGGGCGGCATCGGCGCGAATCTCGTGGGTGGGACTCTCCACCCCTGAGTGGCACAGAAAGTCCAAGATAGATTCAGGATTCCCAGGAGAGATGAGGGCTTGGTAGGGGACATCGAGACCCAGGCCAGAAATGAGTGGCACTCCAGCCCATTAGGGGCTCCTAACTTGCTGTGTGACCATGGATAGAACTCCTCCTCTGTCTGGGCTTCAATTTACCCATCTGCAAAATGTGGGCTTAGATAGATGGTATCTAATGGCCCTTCCCATCCTGACCTCAGGATCCAATAGGGGTCAAAGGAGCTGCTTCCTCATAGGGCACATAAAGTACCCGGCATGCTGCCAAGCAAATAGAAAGAGCTCAACACTCAGTCGGGTCTGTGTTTTTGGTGGTGTCTTGCATTGGAATGTAATGCTGCTCTAAAAAAACACTCACTAACAAGAAGCCTCCATCCTAGTGCCCTTTTAAAACCCTGAGTGGGTTGGGGAGGAGAGCCATCAGAGCTAAAAGTTCTCAACTGTGGCTGCACATTAGAATCACCTGGGGAGCTTTTGAATATTCCAATATTCAAGACACACCCCAGACTATTTCTTTGGAATTTTGGGGTGGGGTCTGGGCATCAGTGTTTTCAAGGCTCCCCTGATGCTTCCGATATTTAGACAAGGGGAGAGCCAGGAAGCAGCTTTAGGGCCGTGGTCTCCAGGAGAGGTCTAGGAACACCCCATTTCTTGATGGAAATTTCCCCAGGAAGCCACTGGGGTGGCGATGGGGGCCTTGAAAGATGTCCCTCTGAGGGCTCATCTGTAGGCTGCTGTTAGGGAAGTAGGAAGTGGGGGTACTGAAGCTCTCTCTGCTTCAGGTTGTCCTCTGTGTGGGCCAGTTGGCTCCCCATGCTCTCTTCTTCCTTTCTCTCCCTTGGCAGCTTTTAGCCTGAAGTCCTCCTGACCCTCGGACCTCAAGTCTTCTTCCCCGCACCTACCCCGTTCTGGGCAGCTCCTTCTCACCTGCCAGCAGGCATGGCCCACGGATCTCCAGTTGGAAGCTGAACTCATATTCCATGGGATTGGAGACCTCAGTGTCCAGAAGATTCTCCAGGCCCAGCTTGTTCCAGGAGTCTAGGGCCAGAGCCCTGAAGCAATGCTTGTCTGTGCTGGGAAGCGGGGGAGAGAAGGAGAAGGTGAGTAGCTAGGCACAGGGAGGAGGCCAGAGCGCGAAAATGAGGAGGGGATGGCGGGTCCCGGGCAGCCCTGGCAATCTTGCAGCCAAGCCCACTAAGGGGGCTGAGGGGCTTCCTCCTACCCCCAGACCCTTACTCTCACACTCCCACCTGCCCCCAGGGTTAGGCCCAGGTACTTCTGTGGAGCACCCATGATGGGCTGGCACTGTGCACAGTGTTCCACATACATTAACTCACGCCATTCTCATGATGACTCTTAGAGAAAAGCATCATGGCCACATTTTCCACATGGGGAAACTGAGGCTCGGCAAGGTGAGGTAACTAGGCCAAGCTTACACGTGGCAGAAATGGAATCCTCCTCTGTCTGGCTGTCCTATATCACACTGCTTCTGTGAGCTGTGAGCCCTTGGACAAGTCGCTTTTCTTCTATGTCTTAGTTTTGTCATCCGTTAAATGGGGATAATACTTATGCAGTTGACTTGAGTACAACAAGAGCTTGTGCCTGGTACAGTGTCTGTCACGTGCTGAGTTCCTGAGTTTCTCAGCCCCCTTTCTTTGTTATCCCCCCTCCGTCTCTGATCCTGCTCCCTCTCCCTCCCCTACATAGGCACCCCTTCTAACATCTTTGCTAGATGTCCTTCAATATGTACGATGTTGTTGTTGGTTGCCATCGAGTCGATTTTAACTCATGGCAACCCCATGTGTGCAGAGTAGAACTGTGCCCCACAGGATTTTCAAGGCTGTGAACTCTCAGAAGCAGATCACCAGGCCTGTCTTCCAAGATGCCTCTGGGTAGATTTGAACCGCCAACCTTTCGGCTAGTAGCGCTTGACTGTTTGCACTACCCAGGGACTCCATGTATCCTTGTAAAATACATGGTGGCCTTTGGGTGTGATGGTGTTTTAAATGGACAAGATTGCATTTATTATGAATCTTCTTCAATTTCTTTCCTTTTGTTTTACCTAGTACTGTTTTTAAGCTCTGCCCATGTCGCTGTCTATAAACCAAATTCCTTTGGTGTTGTTTGGGCGTATTTATCACAATGCACTTAATTGCTCACCTGGTGATGGACAGCTAGCCTACCTTCACCACCTGTATCCACAAAATCACCACCATAAATATCCTTGTCCATGTCCCCTGTGGACTTAGGTAAAAATAGCCCTGGGATCACTGGGTCAAAGGGCACACAGTGGGTACTACTGGATTGCTTTCTGGTTGCAAGTCTCAGTTTCTACTTCGACCAGCAGTGAACAAGAGTTTCCTTCTCCCCATATCTTCACTAACATTTGGTATTATCTATTTTTTCTTTCGTTTCTCTATCTGAGCAACCTTGATATTCACAGGCATTTGACAGAGAGAATCACTATTAACTCTGCCTGCTGGAATGGTCGAGAATGAGCTTATCAGAGCCAGCCAGGGGCATCAGGCTCAGCCGAGCCTCTAGTTCCCTGATTCACTGAGGTCCTGAATGTGCCCAGCTCTGTTAGTCCCTGCCTCTTAAATGCACAAGGCTTGGCATCAACGGTAGCACTTATAAAGATGACACATGGGTTGGTATTCCCTGGTCTGAGACTGGTTTGTGCCACCAACTTCTCTGCTGTGCCTACAAGTGTCCTCACCTCGGCCTTGAAGGACCTACAAGATCTGACCCCACTCTCCACCACCACGTCTGTAACTTCTCTTTTCCTCTTTCTCATTCACTGTGCCATACTAGCCTTCCTGCTATTCCTCAAATACACCAAGTCTGCTGCTGCCTCAGGGCCTTTGCACATACTGCTCCCTGTGCCCAGAATGCTTTACTCCAGATATTTCCATGGCTTGCTCCCTTCATTTAGGCCAGCCCTCAAATGTTGCTTAATTCCTGTCTAAAATAGCATCTACCTGTCCCCCTCTATCCTCTATCGCACTTATCTTCACAGAACTTATCACCTAACCTGTTACATGTTTATGAGTTTGTTTATTATCTGTATCGCCCCATTTGAATGTCAGGCCCATAAGGGCAGAGACTTTGTCTTGTTCACTGCTGTATTCCCAGCACCCAGAACAGTGCTTGGCACATAAATCAAACCCATTGCTGTTGAGTCAATTTCAACTCACAGTGACCCTATAGGACAGAGTAGGACTGCCCCATAGGGTTTCTTTTTTTAAAAATTTTTTTCCCATACAAAAATTTGTACATATCCATGAGAAATCTACTGGAACTAATATAAATATTCAGCAGAGTAGCAGGATACAAGATAAACATACAAAAATCAGTTGGATTCCTATACACCAATAAGGAGAACAATGAAAAGGAAATCAGGAAAACAATACCATTTA